TCATCTTCCTCGTTCATCATCACTTCTAAGATTGCATTTTCCGGGAAAGTATCCAGCTTTTCAATGTTTCCTTGGAAAGAAATCTCTTTTTGAGTTTGTGAGATTTTCAAGATTGTGAATCCTGAAAGATTCAAGATTTTCACTCTCTCTTAAATCTTTGAAGATGAGAGAAGAAGAAGATTCCAATTGGTTCACTAAATGGGAAGAAGAGCTTCCATCACCAGAAGAACTCATACCATTAACTCAATCCTTAATCACTCCCGATCTCGCCATAGCTTTCGATCTCCGAACCACTAACACAAACTCCGGTCAAGTCAATTCAACCGCCGAATTCGCTGCAGATTCAACCGGAGACGAACCAACAGCAAGAACGCTAAAACGACCGCGTTTAGTCTGGACGCCGCAGCTACACAAACGTTTCGTAGACGCGGTTGCTCATCTCGGTATCAAAAACGCAGTTCCTAAAACCATCATGCAGCTTATGAGCGTTGATGGTTTAACCAGAGAAAACGTCGCAAGCCATTTGCAAAAATACAGACTTTACCTCAAAAGAATGCAATCCGGCGCCGGAAACAACGCCGGAGTTGGTGATTCCGATCATCTATTTGCGAGCTCACATGTCCCTACACATTTCCTCAATCCGACAAGTAGACAAAACTCCGACCATTTCATACCTTCTTTTGTCCCAATCTCCACTCTTCAGCAACATCATCAGCAACAACAGAGTCAGTTCCTACACCGAGGAATCGCCGCCGTGAATTTTACTTCTCCGGTGAATAATGGGAAAGTGATGGATCAGTCATTGTTCTTGGCTAGGCAGAATCAGCAGCAACAAGTTATTAGACCATCTTCATTGCATTTGCATAGTCAAGTGGCTAATCACACCGAAGAATCAGGAGGAGCCAAGACTGTTTTGACTCTGTTTCCAACTCGAAACGATTGAATAATACCGATTTTAAGGCGTAACCCGTCGAAGTTGTTGTTTTTTATTGGTCTTTGTTTGTGTAATGTGTAGATCAAGGTCGGTACTAGACTCTGTGACCGGATCTTTGATTGTTCTGTTTTATGTTTCAAAATATGTCTAAAAAAAAAGTAAAAAAAATATATGTCTCTATAATCTTATAATGAAACAATTGGTCTCTTGAGTTTTTCTCTGTAAAATCTTTGATTGGATAAACAAAAAAAAAAAGTACTTTATTTGTGTTCTGTATAAAAGTGATATTTGCACGGAATATCATAAAGCATTTTGCATCTTCTAATCTCTTTTTCTTCTGAAATTCAAGAATCTGATAATAAACCAAATCCATGTTGTATATAGTACATAAAGAAAAAGAAAAAAAAAATTGTGATTATAAAAAATATATATTTATTGACCAAACCATTGATACAAAAGTACAGTGTACAAAGAACATGAAACAGCCAAAAAGCAAAGACTAGACAATGCCAGTTAGAATCTCGATCACAGTGGATCTGATGCTCTCATATCCTTCATCATACC